GGTCTTTTCCATAGTATTTTTCAGTACACATTGTATTGGGTACTGAACAGCCTACCAATGGTGCCAAACTTTATCAACATCGCCCCACCCTACATTTCCAATCCACAGTCAACAATTACATTGGAGCTCTTTCGACCACAAGGCCCGGGGGGTCACTGTATATGCTGTTACTTCACCATGTGCGTTCCAAATTTAGCGGGCCCGCGCGGGAGGCAAATAGGCCCCTTTTAAAGTTCTAATGTCTGCAATAGGCTCTCAGGAATAAACTCAGTGTTGCTGCGCCCGCTGTAGGCCTCCTATTGCAACAACCACTCCCATACGAAGCCCTAGGCCATAGCTTGTTTGAGTTGATCATATCCGCACTCTGTTAACGTATCCTTAGCGAATCTGATGGTTTTTATTTACTAATCCAAGTCTTTGTTTCGATTCCTGTCAACACTGCGCACATTTGGATACAATATCTTTCACAGTTATTTTTTTTTACTTGCCTCTTATACTTCCTGAAAGTTGTTCTCATGTTCGCATTTGAAGGTCATCTATTTGTTCCATGGTGATCAGAAAAATAATCAAGTTCATTTTCATGAATATGTCCTTTTCAATACTACCGTGAAATACTGTAAAAGCTAATTCGCATTTTCGCTAAGTTAAGATATCGCTAATTAGAATAGAGTATATTCTCACGAGATTATTGGTACTCTAGCTAAAATAAGATTCAGTTAATTCAAGCATTGAGCCAAATTCGCTAAAATGGCATGCAGCATTTCAAAGTGTGTACAGTAATATAATTTTGAAATTATGCATGCAGATTTTATTAATTGACCGTATAAATTGCTATTTTAGATAAATAACCAAACTAACTTAGCAACATATTTAGGAACTACAGTTGTAAGTCAATGTGATGTTTTTCTATTATTGAAATTTCACTGTAATATTCACCTCGGAGTGTTGAATCTTGTGGGTTTTTCTGATCGGCGTTATTACTATTAATATGCCAGTAATAAAGTTTCATAATGATAAACCATGAATACAGTCATTCGGTGCGATTTTTGAATGTTCTTGTGTTGATCTGTCATTTTAACATAACATTGGGACATGGACAATTATAGTCATGGCAATCCGAAACTCCAAAAAAAACGTGTTTTTTAGCTTGGTAAATAATCATCTTCTCATGGAAACTGGCGGTGAAAATTGTTGAATTTTGTAGAAAAGCCGTGCCGGTGATTGGCTCTTGAAAATGACTGAAAACAATGCAAGAGTTTAAAGTTTCAGAAAACGTTAACTCAGCAGAAAAACACGAGTTGTGTACGGTGACATCTTTTTAACTTGTAGTGGGCCACTCTATGTTTGAATTTCTTTGTGGATGGGACATGATATTATTATTTGTTTGTTTGTTTTTCAACCGGATTCTAAAATGAGATAAAACTTTACACTATCTCTCTAACATAATAAAAGTAATTTTAATTATGATTTGCCAGCATTATGTTTTTTTTATTATACAAGTACTCTCATTTATGTGTTCTAGAACGCCCCCAATAGTGAGAGGGAAATCCAGCCATCGTGGTATTAAGCCATTATCCATTGTGACGGAAGACCAGGAAGCTTGTCGGCAATCCAAACAACCGGAAGAAACTCCTGATTACGATTTAATGCAATCGCCAACCGAAAAAGAGTCGGACGACAACAACGAACTTTATGAGATGGTTCAAGCGGTTGAAGAGAAACGGGAACCAGCGCTCACTGATACGTCTGGTACAGTTTTCAAAGTTACAGCGCCGCCACGGTCTAGTGTGGAAATAGATACTGAAAAAGATGACCCTCTTGCTAGTACACATGTACAACCACGTAATTCGATATCCTCTGGGTATGGAACAGAAACGAATGAGCCAGAAGGCGAAGGTGAATCTGCTTACGAAGTTGTGACGAGTCCAACTCCCATGCCGACTCCGAAACCCCGCCAAGAATTCAAGTCGCCCAATCCCGTCTCCACGCAAAAATAAACCCAAATATTCCGCAATTAAAGAACTTAGGAGGGCGCTGGTTGATTTGGGTGTGAATATCCCAGCCGTCAACGCCGAGACAAGTTCAAATGGAGAAGGCGTTCAAGAAATGAAAGAGTTCCTAAACACTAGATTTGTCATGACTGTGTGACGTTAAAACACATTGGTTTCTCGAGTGTTCAACAGTGATTTATTGTATTTAAAAGTGGCGTGTGCTGAGTGGTACTAGTATCTATCGGCTAGTCACGGAACGTGCCGAACTCTGAATCAACTCTTTCTGGTAACTAACAGAGGGGGGAACTCAAGATACAAATGTATTTGTAAAGTTGTCCCCCTAAAATTATTGTTAACTGGATATCAAAATAAACTCTACATTTGTGATGTAATTTTACTCGGACAATGTTACGAACCAGCTGCAATTTTCCTGAGTAGTAATTTTCCAACTTCGTGATGATTGTAGTGCACTGTTTATTTCATTAGAGTGTTTTTGCAATGACACGTATCTTAACAGCAGTTCCCCTTTGTGTTTCGCTTTTTCTCAGTTTTGTGTCTAAAGGTACTATGATATGGGATATGCGTACCTCACTCTGAGGTCAAATCACGGATAAATTACAGCGATTTCTTCTATATTTAAGGTATAGATGCAGGTTCGTGGGCACTTGTAGGTGAATTTTTTTTTTTTTTTTTTTTTTTTTTTTTGCTTTTTATTATCCAGACAGTCTTGGCTATAGACTGTTGAAATTTCGAAGCATTGGGAATAGTGGAATATACTCAAAAACTATTTTAAAATATAGAAAACAGGTACAAAAATTCTCTCTTTTGAATGCTTATATTGCATATTTTAAAGATACAATCGTTGTGGTATACATTTTCAGCTTAGATTACAATAGCAAAATCTATTTTATACGACCGATACACAGAATACATATTTTGACTCCAGTCTGTCCGAATTGTAACTATTCAACGTGTAATCATAAGAACGCACGTTTTAAATTATTGTATCTAGTGCCGGTAAATTATACATATAAAGTGTATTATAGATTAACTGGCTGAAATTTACAAAACTAAAGTTGATTAATTAGTTAATTAATTAGTTAATAATTTCTATTCATACCATGCTCGCATGTGTTGATTTGTTTATTATTACTATGAACATGTAAATTTCTGTAAAAGACACGGAATCGCTTAAATTAAATTTTCGACTGTCGAAATAGAATTTGAGGCTATATCATTGCGACATCACGTGACAGCTATTAAGATATTACATTTGCATGTTATTTTCATACTATGGAATGGACATATTATTCTACTTATAAATATCTTTCAAATATTTGTTTACCTAACAGATTTTATTGTATCAATATTGGGTTAGCAACGGATTTTAATAGTAAACGAATATTCTCTATTTAGTTGTGTTGTAGTGGAAGTGTAAATGAATGAAAGTAATTATTTATGTATGCTACTGATTTGTTTTACGCACTATTTAATGTCACAAATATGTTCGAGAATATTTCGATCAAATACTAGAACGTTTTGCCTGTAAGTGGAGACCTCTAGTGGCGAAGGTGAACTTCGTTGACGTAAACGTACTATAACTTGGATGGGGTAAGGCAATGTCGTTCTAAATTTGTTTGTGTAGTCGTTTGTTATTTAAATAATAGAACATATCTTTAAAAGGTTACTTCTTGGCGTACGACTACAAATCAGAACAAGATCGGTGCTAAAATCGGTCTTGCTTTGCTCCATTTAAGTTGTTGATGCATTTTGTCACTAGAGGGCGCGATCTCATGTCGGGAATGGGACGATGTCAATCCAGTTTTCAGTTCAAATACAGACGGAGTAACATAATTTGTTACTGGATCCGCTCAATATCTTGTTTACGTAAACTATTAATAAGATGTAAATATATCTTTGATACGGGTATGTTTTATGCTTCCAATAACGTTCATGAACGAAACGATTTCTCCTGGTGACAGCTTCAAACGATTTATCGCGATGATTACGAATCTGAGTCGAGTTCCACGGCCCATGGAAGGTATCGTTAGTACCTTCCATGCACAGCCAAACCATATTATTAGCCAATGTATGTTAATCCACTTAGCGCAAACACAACGATCAAGTATATGTATTCAGTTTGTCGCCGTAATTTGAATATTTCCGATAGTTTTTCGCTGATCCAGTATACAAGTGCCGTTTTGTTACAATTCACCTCATAACTTGTCAGAATACTAGTACGTCTGACCATCCAATCCACATTGTTTAGTGGTGCGGCCACGTGACAAAGGTGTGTCATTATGTTGGGTCATATTTAAAATCGTAACACATTAAAATATGAGCATTTCAATTGAAAATATGAGGAACGGATGTTAAATTATCTTTACCGTTTAGTTTATTCTTATTTCAAAACTGTAAATTTAAAGGTGGCGTTTTGGTAAACATAAGACAAGTATGGAAATTACATCATGAACACTCCTCGTGCTACTAGGGTCACATGGATCACTCTGTTGGCCTGTATGGCGCGCAATATACCATCGAAGGGACGGGCAATTCGGCCAAATACACATTCTTCCCTCATGGTTCGTACCACAGTAAAATTTTCCCATAAAAAGTCGAAAGACTCTGAGGTTTTGAACCTCGAGTCACCACCATGTTTGACCATTTTATACGGCGGATGACATTGCGTTGAGGACACAATTTTCCAGTCTGGCTAGTAACAATAAAAACGTAT